CTTCATGCCAAGACTTGCCAGCACAGGCTCACCTGCACATCTGCAGCACCAATGTCCCCAGCCTTGGGCTGCAGATTCCTGGCCTCACCCCTAGGGAATGTAAGCTTGCCACCATCCAGCATCCAGACCAGGACAGGTCTCAGCCTGCCACAGAGGGCAAAAAGCAAGTCGACTAGAACCTTCTTCTGCCTTCCCATTCAGACTGTCAGAGCATCTGCCACAGCCCTGGGAGGGGGCTGACCCCACATATAAAGCACCCCCACCCCAGGCCTTTGGAGGAAGCCTGGGGATCAGGAGGCCTTGTTTAGAGTCCTGGCTCTGCCCACACTCACAGTACCTCCCCAGCCAACCAGGTAGGGACTGTTTGACCATCTGTAAAATAAAGAGAGCTGGACTTGGTTCACAGGTCCTCATAGTGCAAAGACTGTGATCAGGAAGGAGTTAATGAGGCCAGGCTCTTCGTCAGGAAGGCAAGGGTTAATTTGGGGGGCGGGGAGGTGGAGGCTCTCTCTGCTTTTCCTGTGGAGAGCGAGGTTTGGCCACAACCAAAGTTACTTCTAGTCCCTGCTGTCCACTCCTGCCCTCAGTCTGGACCTGCCCAAGGACCCTTGCAATTACGCCTCCCACGCAGAGGTGAGTGCACCCTGAGCCCAGGGCTGGGTGGGAAGGAACCCAGGAACCTGAGGGCAGGGAGACTGGTGCCAAACTAGTGAGCCTAAAAGATGGCCCAGGCCCAGAGCCAAAGCCTTGGGCAGAGTTGGGAACACAAACTTCAGGACTGGGAGAAGGTGAGCAAGGGAACAGAGGGACCGGAGGGACAGAGGCCGCCTGCCAGGCTTCTAGGGTGGGATGTCTGAGGCCTGGCCTCCAGGCTAGCCTGGAAGGCAGGGAAGAGGCTGTGGATGACAGACTATTTTGGTCCTTGTGATTAAGGACTTTTTATAGTCTCGCTGCTCAGGGCTGGGGAGAAGAGGAGAGGATAGAGGGCACCCACGGGGTCAGACAAGCAGTGCTTTCCTGGGACCTTGGATTCTGACCCGCTGCCCAGGAGAATCCCTGAGAGACAGAGGGGGACACTGCCAGGCTCTCCTTGGTTCCCAGGCCTCAACTACCTTTGGGCAGACTGAATGATGGGCATGGGGTTGGGCTGGGCCTGGCAGGGTCTCTGCCGCAAGGCCTCTCGCAGACCCCCTCCCTGCTTCCGTGTCGAGTTCTGTTCCTTTGTTGTCCCCAGATCCAAAGTCCCTCAGCCTCTTGGACTTAGGGGGAGTAGGGGGAGATAGGGGTAGGGTCGGGTGTGCAGGGCCATGTGGGTGGCCCATTCTGTTACTGCCAAGAGAACTGTCAGCTCTTGATTTACAACCCCACAACCCCTCCTCGCCCCTTTCCTTGGTGAGGAAGGAGGTGGAGAAGGGTCAGGAGGTCTCAGGATAAAAAGGGGACAAGGACCCTGAGGGCAGAATTCTGGGAGGAGTGCAAGTTATTAGGATGAATTAGTGGAAGGAACTTTTTAGTGAGGCAAGGGGCTCATTTCTAACTGAAATTGCTTGGTTTTATAGCTGCAGGAATACACGCAAAATATCAGTGAGAAGGTTTTTGTTTTTTCCTTATTTTTATTTTTTTTTTTTTTGAGACGAAATCTTGCGCCATCACCCAGGCTGTAGTGCAGTGCTGTGATCTCGGCTCACTGCAGCCTCTGCCTCTCAGGTTCCAGCGATTCTCCTGCCTCAGCCTCCCAAGTAGCTGGGATTACAGGTGAGTGCCACCACGCCTGGTTAATTTTTGTATTTTTAGTGGAGACAGGGTTTTGCCATGTTGGCCAGGCTGGTCTGAAACTCCTGACCTAAGGTGATCCACCCGCCTCGGCCTCCCACAGTGCTGGGATTACAGGTGTGAGCCATTGCGCCAGGCCTCAGTGAGAAGTTCTGATAGGCAAGTGAGAGATCCAATCTGAACTGCAAGGCAAGAAACCTGTGTTCCAGTCCTGGCCCCTAACTCTCAACAGGACCCGAACAAGCCCCCCCTTCTCTCTAGGTCAGTTTCCTCCTCATGAAATGGAAATGCAAAGGTTAAACAAGGTGATGTTTACAGTTTGGCATTCTGAGATCCCCTTGGCAGGGGCAGAGTAGCTGGCAGTAGCTGATAGGGCCTGGGGACCACTTCCCTCTCCTGCCCGGATGGCCCTGCTGGGCCTGGGAAGGGCGGTTGGCTGCAATTACTGGAGGCTCCTACCCTGTGGTTATATCCCTGACCTCGGCGTTTGGGGGCGGGGAGGGTGGACCCTGCTGGAGCCAGCCTGTGGCTGGGAGCCTCCTTGTCTTGTGCTCAAAGCTGCTGGGTTGGGAAGAGGTATTTTTTCCGGTTGAAGCCACTTTCAGGAATTGGGCCGGGACCAGCCGTTTCCTTTTCCAAGTGTCCTGCTTGCTGAGGCCTGCCTGCATGGCCTTGTGGCCAGACTGGGGCACCTTAAAAGGGACATATGTTTCTGAGTGGCAAGAGAGATCCCCACTCAATGTCTCTGAAAGACGGAGAAAGGGATGGCCTGAGCCTCTGCTCCCTGGACATGGGACCGGCTAACCTGGATGGGGAGAGGGATGGCTGACCGATCCCATACTGAGGAATGCCAGCAGAAGAGGAGCAGGGACAGTTCCTGCCCTTCCCCTGACCATTCCTCTCTCCCTGCAGGTCTGTGAGAGCCCAAGCCAATCGCTCTTGGCCCCGTGGCTGGCTGCTTATGAGGCACTGTCCTACCCAGCTCTGCTAAGATGCTCCTGACCCCTCCCTCCACTACGTCCAGAGGAAGGACCCCCAGCGCTGTGGAAAGGCTGGAAGCCGACAAAGCCAAGTATGTCAAGACGTACCAGGTGATAGCTAGGCGCCAGGAGCCAGCCCTGCGTGGGAGTCCCAGGCCGCTCACGCCGCACCCCTGCAACGAGCTGGGGCCCCCTGCATCGCCCAGGACGCCCAGGCCTGCCCGCCGCGGAAGCAGCAGGCGGCTGCCAAGGCCTGACTCCCTCATCTTTTACCGCCAGAAGCGGGACTGCAAAGCTTCGGTGAACAAAGAGAACGCCAAGGGCCAGGGGCTGGTGCGGCGTCTCTTTCTGGGTGCCCCGCGGGACGTTGCCCCGAGCAGCCCGGCCTCCACAGAGAGACCTGCAGCTTCGGGGGGTTGGGCCGCGCCACAGGATGCCCCGGAAGCGACGGGAAAGCGGGAGCTGTGCCCCACATGCTCGCTGCCCCTGTCGGAGAAGGAGCGCTTCTTCAACTACTGCGGCCTGGAGCGCGCGCTGGTGGAGGTTCTGGGCGCAGACCGCTTCTCCCCGCAGAGCTGGGGCGCCGAGGCCAGCCCACAGGCCGGAACTTCGCCGCCGCCCGGCTCCGGGGACGCCAGCGAGTGGGCGTCCAGCGACAGGGACGTGGACAGCCCGGACGGCGCGGGCGGCGGCGGCTCGGAGGCAGCGGGCTCGGCGCGGGACGGGCGCCCCCAGGTGTCGGTGGTCGAGCGCAACGCGCGCGTCATCCAGTGGCTGTACGGCTGCCAGCGTGCCCGCGGACCGCCGCGCGAGTCCGAGGTGTGACCGCTGCATCTCCGGAGCTGGCTCCGGGGGAGTGCGGAGCGCGGGGCTGGTTCCGGGCACGGACGGGGACACCCCGCTTCTGACACGATGGGTGCCTTTGCGCAATCCCTTCTCTTTGGAACTCAGTTTTGCGTCTGAACCTTGGGGAGGTGGGACAAGTTGCTGGCGAAGGCCCTTCCCTGAGCCCGCGGCGAAGGGGGAGGGAGGTGCTTCGTGGCCCCTGTGGAGGCCAGGTCTGGGGAGTCAGGACTCGGGTGGGAGATGAGCAAACCTGCTGAATACAGTTAAAATGTTATTTAAATGGGGATCTGAGGAAGGAGGCAACCCGGTTTTAACCCGGTGGTTAACCGCGCGGGTTTTGGAGTGTGGGTTCCGGACTGACTGTGTGACCCTGGGCAAGCACTTGACCTCTGAAGCAGCGGGACCCCTCGGTTATTAAGGAGGGAGGAGTAGGGGATACAAATATTTCAAAATAGTTGTAACGCGCATGGCAAAGTGCCCAGCATATAGAAGTGCTCAATAAACGATAACTGCTGTGGCTTCTACTGAATTAGTTCTAACACTGTTGTGATTTCCATCGGCCTCCAGGTCGACCCAAACCAGAGCTGGGAGCTGGGAATGGCGCGTTTCTGGAGCCTGAGGGGGCGTCTGCTCCAGAAATCTGGAGTACACCAGATCCTAAAAGGCCCCATTCCAGGACTTTTGCTGCCCGGATTGTGGTCACTGGGTATGAAGGGCTGAGATGTGGAGGATCCAACTTTTCGGACACGAAAAGAAGGGAAGCTTTTCTGCCAGCCCGCAGGCTCCTGCCACTGCCTCCCTTTCCCGCAAGGACACCCAAGGTCGCCTATTTATCACAGGTTCGCACCTCTGAGTCTTCGTTCATGCACCTCCTTCCTTTGCTTGGGTTGCTGTTCCTTTTCTTTCCACTCTTCCTTCTCGGAGATAACCTATATTCTCCAGGAAGCCTTCCTGAATGCCCCAGTCAGCCTCACCTGCTCTGAGCTCCCAAGTACAGCCCTATTTTTGTGCCTCAATTTGTCACCTTTTGTGAGACCTGCTGGTAGTCCGGGTTCTTTCGTTAGTCTCTGACCTTTGCCTAGTACAGGGACGGCGCACATAGCAGGGCCACAGGCACACTTTGTTGAATTAAATGAGGCTGGAGAGGGCGGTGGACGCAGTCCTCTGGAGCTTCCCAGCTTACTGGAAAGTTGTACCTTAAATGAAAAACCCATCCTGATATGCGGGCTGTCTTTGGTCATTTTCCCCTGTATATTTGGTAAGGCGAGGACCCATCCAGCTGGACCCCGCCCGAGGTCGCCCCCTCCAAAAGCAGCCTTTCTTGATGTCCGGACAAAAGCACGCAGTCACACAGACTGTCGGGCCAGGTATTTTATCAGAGATGGGAGCAGCGGGCGCTGGGTTCGGCCAGCTCGCTAGTCGCCCTTGGGCGTGGCCTTCACCCTCATCTCGGCCAGTTTGTGGGTGAGGAAGCCCCACTTGAAGCCGGCCACCGGCTCGGCCTCCTGCGACTCGGGGCGCTCGAAGGCCTCGTCCCCGGGTTCGGGGTCCGGCTCTGCGGTAGGCTCAGCGCCGCGCAGCATGGACGCAGCCGCCGCTTGCTGCTGCTGCCACCTGCTGGCGAACGTGTCCCAGAAGCCCGGGCCTCGCGCCTCCGCCGCCGCCGCAGCCTGCGAGGGGGGTCGTGCCGCCAGAGGGCTGCGAAAGAGGGTCGCGGTCAGGGAAGCCGCCGAGCGGTCCCGAGGAGAACATCGGAGAGGAGGCGGGGCCGAGGGACGAGTTTAGTGGGGCCGGGGGAGCCCAGATGGACTCAGGAGCTCTGGTGAGGCGCGGGGTCAGAAGACTAAGGGGGACCAGGTCGAAGGGCGGGTCAGAGTCTGGAGGCAAGGGGAGGGCTCAGAGGCCCTGGGAAAGGGGACTGGGGTGGGACAGGGTCAGGGGATTAGGCGAGGGGTGTGGCGGGAGGGGACAGTCGTCGGGATCCCTGGGGAGAGAATGAGGTCAGGGGTTCAGGCGAGGCTCGAGGAGGGACGCTGGAGGCGCGCACAGGTCTGGGAAGCTGGAAGTATCCCTGGAAGAGCAGGTGGAAGCGGGAGGGGCTATTTAGATACCACCCGAGGGATGCCTTAGGGAAAAGAGGCAGGGCACGGACAGGGCACGGTCCTAGGATTGAGGAAAAGGGGGACTAGGGACACAGGAGAAAGGTGGAGCGACAGGAAGGCCTAAGTGAGAGGCTTAGGAAAGAGCAAGGGGACTCAAGAGAGGTGGGGAGATGCGGGGGGACTACAGTCAAGGAGAGGTGATGACGCTTGAAGCTGAAGCTGAGTCCGGGAAGTTCCTTAGGGAACTGCGGATGGGTATGTGGGGGGAGGAGAATGGAAACCTGGGGGCAGGAGAGATGAATGGGTCATGGGGACCCTAGGAGAAAAGCATAGGGTCAAGGGTTAGAGGGGGATGTGACCAGGATGGCGGAAAAGGCAGAAATGGAGAGTGTGCCAGAGAGAGAGCCAGGAGGGAGACTGAGGTCCCAGGTCCTACCCCCTAATCCTCGGCATCAAAGACCTTCTAAGGACCTTCTAAGATAGTGGTTCCCAAAGTGGGTGCTGTGGGGTCCTGGGGCGGGGAGCCTGCTGAAAACAGCTAGATCCCCAGGGCCCTGCCACACCTGCCGAATCGGAGTCTCTGAAGGAGGTCCAGGAATATGTTTGTCACCTGCTTCCTTGGAGGGTAAGGGCTTAGACAGTATTTGGGAACCTTTGATCTGGATCACCTTCTGTTGAAGACACCTAAAGCTATTCTCCGTTCTTGGATTTTAGAGAGATGGCGCCTCCCAAGTGGATGGGTTGAGAGAGCCCATAAATACCTTGTAGCACCTAAATCCCAACAGCTGGTCAATTCCTCCTGAGATTTACCCTAATCTCCCAGATATGCTGATTTGGCCTGTTTCCTCCTGAGAGAAACAGAAACAGCCTGGGGCTGCCCCTTCTCAGCCCTCTGTGGTTAGAAAGACAAACTAACCAGAAGGAAAGGACCAGGCAGAGGGGGACCGCAGGCCCCTTCCAGAACCACCCCAAACACACACGCACATACTGGTCAGCACAAGGCTCCGGCGGCAGCAGCTTATCCTCATCTTCTTTGTTAAACAGAGACGACATTGTCAGCCAGCCTTTCACCCCGACCCCCTGAACCTGGGAAGCGGAATGGGAGTCAGGAAAGGGCCCCAGCACAACCTTCCAGGACTCCAGAGAAGCCTCTGCCAGGCTGCCTAGGGTTGGCATGGAAGAAGAGAGAAGACTCACCCGGCGGGCCAGCTGTGACATGGGATTGAAGGTCTCCTCCATTGGCTCTGCCATCTCAGACTCCACTAATGCTGGGTTCTCCCTCTGGGACACAAGACCCCCACACAGCATGAGAGAGGCTGCAGAGAAGTGTGATCTCCCTCCCTCACTGCTATCCTAGTTCACACAGACCAGGTACTCCAAACCCCACAGAACTAAACACACCTATACACCCCACACTCCACAAGAGCACACAGGAATGCATACAGGTATACCTGTAGAGTAAATCCCTGCAGACACCATTTTTTTTCTTTTTCTTTTCTTTGTTTTTATTTATTTTTTTTTTTTGTGAGACAGAGTCTTGCTCTGTTACTCAGGCCAGAGTGCCGTGGAGTGCAGTGGCACAATCTCGGCTCACTGCAACCTCTGCCTCCTGGATTCAAGAGTTTATCCTGCCAGCCTCCTGCATATCTGAGACTGCAGGCACCCCCCACCATGCCTGGCTAATTTTTGTATTTTTGGTAGAAATGGGGTTTCACCATGTTGGCCAGGCTGGTCTTGAATTCCTGGCTTCAAGTGATCTGCCCACCTTGGCCTCCCAAAGTGCTGGGATTACAGGTGTGAGCCACCACGGCCAGGCTGCAAACACCCTTGAGCACACATACCTGCCCACCACAGACACACTCATACACACCCAAAAGCACATGGACATGGGCATGCACTCTGATGTAGACACACACCTGCACATGAGCATGCCTGTACATAGACATATGTATTTCAGGTACCTATACAAGGACACACAGTTATACCATTTACACCTGTGCACTTATACAACCACAGACAGCCCATCTGCAATACACAAAACCTCGCCACCCAAATACAGATACCAAAACACACATACCATACAAACATAACACCTGCAAATGTCTACACAGAGGCATGCAGGCATAGACTGCTGCCCAAAATGTTCATACCTGCACATACACCTTCACTGGGGTTCCACCCAGACACTGATCACACCACTTACCCACAGACACTTCTGCACAAGCCCAGCCTTGGACACCAACCTCTCCAGACATTCAAGAATTCAAACCATTCTCTACCCTCTGGACCAATTCCTGCCACTGCCACATTTTGTGATTGTGTGACTGCCACTTATCAGAGCCTCAGATATAAGACTGTCCCTGGTTTCAGAAGCTTTGCTGCTGCTGTTGTTGTTTTGAGACAAGGTCTCGCCTGTCGCACAGGCTGTAGTGCAATGGAGCCTCCACCTCCCTGGGCTCAAGCAATCCGACCACCTCAGCCACCTGAGTAGCTGGGACTACAGGTGTGTGCCACCATGATATCTAATTCTTTTTTTTTTTTTTTTTTTTTTTTTTTTTTGTAGAGGGTTTCACTACATCATCCATGCTGGTCTTGAAATCCTGGGCTCAAGTGATTCTTCTGCCTCAGCCTCCCGACTAGATAGGATTATAGGTGCCCACCACCACACCCAGCTAATTTTTGTATTTTTAGTAGAGGCGGGGTTTCGCCATGTTAGCCAGCCTGGTCTTAAACTCCTGATCTCAGGTGATCTACCTGCCTTGGCCTCCCAAAGTGCTAGGATTGCAGGCATGAGCTACTGCACCTGGCCTGTTTTGGGGTTTGTTTTTTTTTTTTTTTTTTTGAGACAAAGTTTCGCTCTGTCACCCAGGCTGGAGTGCAATGGCACAATCTGGGCTCACTGCAACATCTGCCTCCCAGGTTCAAGTGATTCTCCCAAGTAGCTGGGATTACAGGTGCATACCGCCACACCCAGCTACTTTTTTTGTATTTTAGTAGAGACGGAGTTTCGACATGTTGCCCAGGCTGGTCTTGAACTCCTGAGCTCAGGCAATACACCTGACTTGGCCTCCCAAAGTGCTGGGATTACAGGCATGAGCCACCGTGCCTGGCCTGGCCTGTTTGTTTTTTAATGTCAGAACAAAGCATGGTCTCAGTATGGCTTTCATCTGATGCTGCTACAGTGGCCTTTCTAGTACAGGTGCCGCTCCCCCTACCTCTAGTAACAGGGGACTCACTACATCACTCCCAATTCTGCTCCCATTAGAAAGTTGTGTCCAGCTAACTTTCTAATGGGAGCAGAATTCATGTGCCTACTGTCCACTTGTCCTAGAAGAATCTCTTCCATGTGGCAGCCTCGAGATCTTTGGAGACAGCAGCCACTCCTCCCACGGTCCCCAGGTCTTTTCTTCTTCCTCAGTTTTCCTGAATGTCCTGGCTTTCTGATGCTGCACCATGCTTTTTACCATCCCTGAATGTGACGTCTGCACAAATGTGCCCCCCAACCTCCTAGCCTATTCTGTGCCCCACTTCATACCACTCATTCCTACTGCCCCTCTGCACATGCTCCATGCAGCATGCATGGATGGCACCTACCTCATCTGCCAGGTCTTCCTCAGATTCCCCACTCAGGGTCTGTAGCACTTTGGACTTGTAGGTTTTCCAGAAGGCCTGGTTCATGGCTGCAGGGGGAAGAGGCCTGGCATCCAGGCACAGGAAGGTGGTGGCTCAATGGATACCAGTGAGTCTGGCTCCAGAAACTTGGTGAGGCCAAGAGCCTGTCCGAGGGATCTGGTGACTTCATTAAAGATGCACCAGCCTCCCCACTGGCACAGTGCCCAGGAAATGAACCTGATCCAAAGGAGTTGGTGGGGGGGTGGGAGATGGAACAGGCTTCCACCATCTTATCCCGTTGTCTTGACCCATATTGGCCAAGAATAATGTCTCTAGACAGGCCTTCTCTATCTCTCTGTCTCTAGGGAGGCCTTCTTTTGGGTCTAGAAGTATTTGAGGTTGTCCATCTCTTAGCATGCATGTCTCCAGAAAAATCTTCTTCCATTCACAAAATCCTGAGGAATGGGACACACACTGGAGCCCTGGTGACTATGGTCATACCAGTTGTGTCCTCAGCTGGGCTCCATCCTGTGTCCCTACTCAGCCTCAATGAGCTGGAGTGGAAGGTCCTCAGGCCCCCAGTGGGCACCTTGGGCTTACATTTCACTTCTTTGTCTGGGCTGGAAACTGATTCCTCTCCCCAGGGATGCACGTGCCTGTCTCCTTGTTTCCTGGCAACAGATTCCAAAGAGCTGGAGTCCCTGAATTATTGCTAAGCTCCTCTGGCCCCTTCCAGCTGAGTTGGCTCTGGCCAGCCTGGGAGGCACCAGGCTCCTATGAACAGGGAAAGGCCCTCTAGGCTTCTGCCCACTCTGAGTATGCAGCACCTGGGCCTTTGCTGCCAGCCCACCTCTGGGAGCCCAGGACTTAGAAAAAGGAGGCAAAGATGGAGAGGTCTTTTTATGAGTACTTGTGAGAAGAACTGAGCCCTCTGGAGTCTGGATGCCTGGAGTCTGCAGTCTCTGGGGAGGAATACCCTTCACAGAGTTGGCTGAGGGCAGAGAGGGAGGATGGACACTCAAGAGATAACTGGGGACCAGGGAGAAGTGGTGAGGGCTTTTTCAGGGACTGGAGATATCTCGGGAAGCCCTGTTAGGGTTGGGATTCCAAACTCATTAATTCTGTCATATATTGATTTATTCACGACACAGACATTTATCAGTGCTTTCCAGAGATAAAGCATCCCACCCCCACCGCAGAGTCCGAGGTCTGGGAACCAGGAAGGGATGACAGGGGTAGAGGTTGGCACTGAGACTTGTTGGGCCAGGCCAGGGATAGCAAGGCAGCTAGACGGCCCCGAAACCCCCAGACGCACGCACCACCCGCGCCTCCCCAGCGAGAACCCACGTGGCCATGCCCTTCAGTGGGCATACTTTTGGGGCCCCGTCCTGAGCGCGGTCACTGACGTCGACGGCCGCCTGGGGGCGCTCGAGCCGTTGGCCGAGCGAGTGACGTCATCTATCGGAGGCGGTCGGGCCGAGCCTCCCTCGCCCCCCGGCGTCGCCAAATGTCGCTGGGCGACCCGGAAGCGCCCGCACGTGTATTCCGTGCTCTGCTCCTGGCCCTTTTGCCGGGCTGTTACTGGCCATGGGTCGCTCCCGCCGGACAGGCGCGCACCGAGCGCACTCCCTAGCCCGGCAGATGAAAGCGAAGCGGCGGCGGCCGGACCTGGATGAGATTCATCGCGAGCTGCGGCAGCAGGGACCTGCACCGCCCCAGGCCGAGCCGGACCCCGACCTGCCAGGGGGCGGCCTGCACCGCTGTCTGGCCTGCACGTTAGTACCGGCCGAGCCCGGCCTAGGGCGGAGGAAGGTCCGAGGTACCGGCCGGGAAATGTGAAGTTCGAGCCCCGGGCGGCGCGGAGTCTTCTCTCTTGGGACCCTTGGTTCCTCCCGCTTCCGGATCCTCAGACTCAGATCCTGGTGTCAGGGACAAGCTAGGGCTAGGGAGATAGATGTACTTGGTAGACATCACCTCCTCACTCTCCTTCTCACTTTCCTCCCTACAGGAGGTACTTCGTCGATTCCGCCAACCTGAAGACGCACTTCCGATCCAAAGACCACAAGAAAAGGTATGAAGGAGTGAGGAGAGGATTGATGGATGGGTGCTCAGCAGATAGGGGTCGCACCTGGTCAGCTCCCAACTCCTATTCTTTTTTCTGCCAGGCTGAAGCAGCTGAGAGTCGAGCCCTACAGTCAGGAAGAGGCCGAGAGGGCAGCGGGTATGGGATCCTATGTGTCCCCCAGGCGGCTCGCAGTGCCCACAGAAGTGTCCACCGAGGTCCCTGAGATGGACACTTCTATCTGACATGGCCTGAGGATGCAGGGCAAAGGAGTTGCTCATGGACAGTGACGAAAGGACTAGGCTGGGAGGGGGTGTGCCAGCCCCTTTTGGCCCTGGGTTTGTGAAGCGGACGGCCTCTTCTGGGTGCCCTGCCCCCAATAAAGGAACTGGACAAAGAGAGCTTGCCTCCAGTTCTCTAACTTCCAGGCCACTGTCCCAAACTCCTGCCCTCGAATGGTTTCTTTACTACTTTCTGTGCACCAGACCTAGGGTATCTACCCTCTGCTTGGTCTATCTTTGGATTCTGCATCCCTGCCTTCCCTCTGAGGGCCTAGCATCTGAACTGGAACACCCAGATGGAGCCCTGATACAGTGTGGGGTGGCAGGAGTGGGATCAGATTACTCTGTCCTGCTTCCGACATAGAATGATCCCCAGAAAAGAAGCAGGCTTCTGAGATTGCAGCCCCCTCCCGAGTCACCTACCTCCAGCGTCCAGGTGAGAGTCTCTCTTTGTTATGGGTTCCGTGGCAGCCGCCGCTGCCCTGCCATCTTCCAGACCGCATAGCAGGAGCCACCCAGCCCGAGGACAGCTAGCACTGTAGCCACAACCCCAGCCAGTGGACTCCGGGGCTCTGCCTTCAGCTCACCAGCTATCTGCATCTGGAGGTACACAGCCTGAGGGATCAGTTGAGACTTCCAGGAAGGTGGGGAGTGGGAAGGGGATGAGTAGGTGCAGCTGGGGGAAGGAGACATGGACGCCAGTGCTGCCCCAGGGAGATTCCACCCCAATCCCTTTCGCTTCACTGCCCATCTGGGCCTCTGCTGCTCAGGCGGCGGGGAACGTGACAGCTTGGCTGTTGGGGGTGTCAACCCAGCTATGGTAGAGGGAAGAAGGGGTCAGTCATGCCAAAAGCCAATGATTAAGGGTACTTACCTGTAGCACCCGGAAGTAACCAGGGGTCAGGCGTCGAAATCGCATGGTGATCAGCACTGGTCTCCCTGGCGGCCTGTAGGGTGGGAGAGGATGTGAAGACCAGCGATCTCCATGATACCAAGAAATGGAAACTAGGGAAGAGGGGTCTCTGACCTTCTATATGCGCAAGACCCAAGCCCTCAGAGGATGCTCACCCGCGCCTTCTGCCCAGGTCTGCCGGGGGGGCGGGGCAACTGGACCTTTAAATCTGGTCCCTTCCCCCACTGCCTACCATCCTGCCAGCCTTAGGAGCAGCTGTCAAAAGAGATCAGCATCAGGCCTGAGCAGCACCTCCCCCACTCACCGAGGAGGCCGGTCCGGGTAGGCAGGAGAGGCCTTGGCTGGCAGTGCTCAGAAGTCCCAAGCCTGGACCATGTACTGGGCAGGCCTCCCTCAGCCCTGGTCTGGGCACCATCCCTGCGGCGGATGATTGGATACCACCAATCAGCATTATCGAAGGAGGGGGAGGGTGCCTTTATTAGCTCCTCACTATAGTATGCCTTTTCCACTTGATTTCTGTCAGATCAACCACATCTACCTCGAGGGAGGGCACATTTAGCCTGTTTCTTCAAGACAGTTTCTGCAGGGACTTCCCTGCCCTCAGCTTGGGAACAATAATAAAAGCATATCTGCATATACCAATTAAGAAAGTTGTCCATGACACATTAAAAATAGTAGTCATTGCTCTAAGCACTTTACTTGTATTATTTAATTTGGTATTGATTATCCCTTAAATGAAAAAGTATGGTGGGGCAGCACTTTGGGAGGCTGAGGCAGGCAGATTGCCTGAGCCCAGCAGTTTGAGACTAGCCTGGGCAACATGGGAAATCTCATCTCTACCAAAAAAAAAAAAAAAGCCAACAAAACAGAAACAAAAATTAGCCAGGCATGGTGGTGTATTCCTGTAGTCCCAGCTACTTGGGAGGCTGAGGTGGGAGGATTGCTTGAGCCCAGGAGACAGAGGCTGCAACGAGCTGAGGTCTCGCCATTGCACTCCAGCCTGGGCGACAGTCTCGATAAAGAAAAAAAGAAAAAGTACAATTTGCAGAATAGTATGTAGACTATCTGCAGATACAGAAAATAAAAGAATATCCCAAATTTAGCGAAGACCCCCACTGGGGAACGTGATAGAGACACATTGGGGAAAGCACACGTCCTCCTTTCATTTGATCTATCACCTTTGAAATGTATATAGCAAATACGTAGAACTTCATATTCATAAAGCCTTTAAAATAGGCCAGGCATAGTGGCTCACATCTGTTATCTCAGCACTTTGGGAGGCGGAGGCAGTCAGATCACTTAAGGTCAGGAGTTCAAGACCAGCCTGGCCAACATGGCAAAACTGTCTCTACTAAAAATACAAAAATTAGCCAGGTGTGGTGGCACGCACTTGTAATCCTAGCTACTCGGGAGACTAAGGCATGAGAATCACTTGAACCTGGGAGGCAAAGGTTACAGTAAGCGAAGACTGCGCCACTGCACTCCAGCCTGGGCAAGAGAGCAAGACTCTGTCAAGAAACAAAACCCTTTCAAATAGAAGCTGCCAGCCAGGCAGGTGGGTGGATCGCTTGAGGTCAGGAGTTCAAAACCAGCCTGGCCAACATGGTGAAACCCTGTCTCTACTAAAAATACAAAATTAGCCAGGTGTGGTGGTGCACATCTGTAATCCCAGCTACTCAGGAGGCTGAGACAGGAAATTCACTTGAACCCGGGAAGTGGAGGTTACAGTGAGTTGAGATTGCGTCATTGCATTCCAGCCTGAGCAACAAGAGCAAAACTCCATCTCGAAAAAATAAAATAAATAAAATAGAAGCTGCCATTTATTGTGTCCCTAACTGTCTAGCCCTGGCAGGTGCTGGGAGCATAGAGTAAAGGCACTGCTGTTGAGGGAGGAAAGGGGCTGGTTCTCACCTCTGGTGCCAGCTCAGGAAAGGTATTTGATGAAATCAAGATCTGTCTACTGAACACTGTGATAAAGGCTCTCAGAATTTATTGGACTTCCCTGGAGTGCCACAGGGAGGCTGCTATATGAAGAGGCAAAAATATTAGAAGAGGATGCAGCTCAGAGTGTTCAGGGGACACAGACTCGAAGCAAAGGACAAAGCTGGAGATGGGTGGGGCATTTTGCAAATTTGAAGTCAACTGGCTCACAACATGAAAGAGGCTGTTAACACCAAGTGTGAAGGGATAGCAGCACCAGATCTGGCCAAGTTCAGAGAAGCTGGGGCTCTTAATTTGCATGTGAAATTATTAAATGATGACAACACACATATACTACATGGGCCAACCATGGGTGAAATTCAGACTTTGGATCTCTGGGTTACAGGTAAGGTTATGATAGGCCTTGAAGGCTGGCATGCTGCAGAAATTCTGAAGTAGGTGATACAGTCAGCTCCTCCCCACAGAATTAAAGCAACAATAACTCATATCGACCCCATGATACAGATTTCAAAGTACTTAACATCATCACAGCTCTAAGGTCTAGGAATCTCCTTACAGAGAGGAAGAAACAGATTCAGAAAGGTGTAGAAGTTGGGCCAAGTCACATAGCAATTGAGTGAAACTGATTTTATCGATTATAAAGCCCTGGGAGTCCCCTGACCTAAGATGACATTGATGGAAATGAACATTTAGTATGTGTCAGACATTTTTCTAAGATGAAAGCTCTTACTCTGGGGTTCAGAATTCAGGGGATCTGCCGGGTGCAATGCCTCATGCCTGTAATTCCAGCACTTTGGGAGGCTGAGGCAGGTGGATCACCTGAGGTCAAGAATTTGAGACCGGCCTGACCAACATGGTGAAACCCCGTGTCTACTACAAATACAAAAATTAGCTGGGCATAGTGGTGGGCACCTGTAATCCCAGCTGCTGGGGAGGCTGAGGCAGGAGAATCGCTTGAACCTGAGAGGCAGAGGTTGCAGTGAGTCAAGAGCGTGCCATTGCGTTCCAGCCTGAGTGACAGAGTGAAACTCGGTCTCAAAAACAAAACAAAACAGAATTCAGGGGATCCATAAACTTGGACGGGAAAAAAAATTATATATTTGTTTTCACTAACCTCTAACGAAAATTTATGATTTCCTTCTACATGGATTGAAGTAGCAGTATTTTTGGCTTAGTCACCAATAGAAATCACAGGTATTTTCATATCAAATTGCAAATATCTCAAAATATTTATGCTGGTAATGATTTCTAAATCACAGTAGTTAAACCACCACTAAATTGTATGTGAGCTCCTTCTGTTTCCGATGCTCCTGTGATGTAGCCGCCATTAACTGGGCACCTCCGGGCCTAGCAGTGGTTCAGTGACCAAAGGGTGAATCTGCCTGTTTTCGACAGGGCTTCTCCACTCTTCTGCATTCCCTGTCATTAGTTGTTTGCTGATCAGTATGTAAGAGGAGATGAGTCAAAAATCACCCCACAGTTGGTTGACAACACACTGTGGTCATTAAAAAAGGAAAATTTAACTTTTGGCCAGTCTCGTTAATGTTAATGAACATATTATAATATCATAAATTTGTGGTTTTATTTTTTTGAGGTGGGGGGGTCCTGCTATGTTGCCCAGGGTGGCTTTGAACCCCTGGGTTCAAGCGATACTCCCCACCTCAGCCTCTCGAGTAGCTGGGACATCGGTTGGGTACCAGTGCTCCCCACCTCCAAATTTGTTTTTAAATATAGTTTTGATAATTGTTCTCATTACAATCCTAAGCATTTTGTTTTGTGTCTTTATTTATTTATTTATGATACAGAGTTGTGCTCTGTTTCCCAGACTGGAACGCAGTGGCACAATCCTGGCTCTCTACAACCTCCACTTCCCAGGTTCCAGTGATTCTCCTGCCTCAGCCTCCCGAGTAGCTGGGATTACAGGCGCATGCCACGACATCTAGCAAAGTTTTTGTATTTTTAGTAGAGACAGGGTTTCACCACGTTGGCCAGGCTGGTCTTGAACTCCTGATCTCAAGTGATCCATCTGCCTCAACCTCCCAAAGTGCTGGGATTACAGGCATGAGCCACAACAACTGACCTGTTTTATGCTTTTATAAGCAGCTATTCTGAGAAAGCATTCATGGGCCTCACTAGATGCCAGAGTCCATAATGCAAAATAAAAGGGAGGCCAAACAGCCCAGTTCTAAAAGTTTTCGAGCTATCACTCAAATACTGTGTGCATAGCTGCCCTTTGAAGTAGGCTCTGTTTTATCTGTTTTACAGACCTAGAAACTGAGGCACAGAAGTGAGGGTCAGCCCCAGTTCACGCAGCTAATAAGAGCTGGCCTATGCACCCAGGGACCTGGCCCCTTACCTCTGTGCTTTGCTACTGAGCTTACCGCTCCTCTTGTGGCTTTTTCTTGAGGAGCCAAAGGGTGTGGGCCCTACCCCAAGATCTGAGGCCAGTGGCACTGCCCCCTAGCCGGGGCGAGATGACAAAGCCCTGGGATGACTGAAGGGCGGGGAAGGAGGCAGATGGGCGTGGGCCAATGGCTGTTGCAGCGCCTCACCTGGCCGTCTCTGTGGGCCCAGGTATGCAGTAAGCTCCGCCCTGGACCCAGCCCAGCCCCTCCCCAGGCCTGGGCTCTGGGAGCGGAAATTCCGGCGCCAGCAGGGCAGAACAGGAGCTGATTCGAGCCGGCGGACGCCTGGGGAGCTGGGCCATGGAACCCGTAGAGACCTGGACCCCCGGAAAGGTGGCAGCTTGGCTGAGAGGTGGGTGGGGCTGGGGTGGAGTTGGGCTCGAAGGGGACTAGGTGTAGTGTCCCGTCGGAAGAGGGAGGAGGAGAGGAAAAGAAAAAAGAGCCTTCGGACTGGGTGCGGTGGCTCACACCTGTAATCACAGCACTTTGGGAGGCCCAGGTGGGTGGGTCATCTGAGGTCAGGAGTTCAAGACTAACCTGGTCAACATGGTGAAAACCCTGTCTCTACTAAAAATACAAAAATTTTTAGTAGAGCTGGGCATGGTGGCAGGTGCCTGTAATCCCAGCTACTCAGGAGGCTGAGGCAGGAGAATCGCTTGAACCCGGAGGTGGAGGTTGCAGTGAGCCGAGATCACACCACTGCACTCCAGCCTAGGTGACAGAGTGAGACTTTGTCTCAAATGAAAAAAAAAACCTGTGGATTCTATCAGTCTGTCAGTCAGCAAGTATTTACAGAGTACCTACCATATTCAGGTACTGTGCTGGGCAGAGACAGACAAGATGACCCCAGGGGGCCCAGTGACCCAGAAGGGAGTCTCTCATCACTG